GCTCGGAGTCAGTATACTGTGTCTGAGTGGGGTATTCATGTTAAACTGCGGCATGGTATCTCAGTGAGCTAGCACTATAAATCGGCATCAGTCCGGACTAGTAAAAGCAGCCACACAAACACACACGTACATGCACGTCGCTATATAAGTACAATTATCTTTGACGCGACGTTAAACCCAATTTCACCTCACCTTATACAATTAACTAGGTTTACAAACCAATGCAAACTGCTGCAAAGTAATACAATACAAAAACTACAATAGCAGTGACAATAGCAATTAAGTCAGCGATAATAATATTCAATAAATAATAGTCCAAAACTAACAATCAGACTGACGTGTTACCACATCTGAGATGTGCTCTTTTTCTTGGTCTGTCAACAGTGATAAATCTACCTCAACCACAACAATTTTAATAGGGCAGCCTACATTTTAAGCAACCTAACCTACATCTAGTCGGTGTTGACATAACGCCTGCTTCGTGTTCCCCAGTCACGACTAGTAATACATCGTTGCTAGTGCAATTTTCAACGACAGTACAATTACAGAGGCAGTATTCACAGCAAACAAGAAAACGTTTTTTTCCGTATATGGGCTTTGGATGAAAAAAACACACGTTTTTATGCGTTCTATTAAACCATTCATTTTCGTCCAAATACCGTCGTTATGATTATAAGGGAAGGGAGTTCGTCCGTCGGTCCGTTTCTCAAAGGTGACAAATTTTCTCAAAAACTATTTTCGTGAAACAAGTCTAGACTTTGCACAGGTTCTAAATCTCTTTCTCAGCTCCTTTTCAATTTAAATGAAGTTGATTATTTCCATCTAAATTCTATATTTTCAGAGACTAGACGTTAGACTAAGCATTCAGAAGTGATCTAACTTCATAATTTGGCGGAGCCCAGTCGTCTAAGGCGCCGCGATTTGCTGTGCAGGGTTGCGTCCCTTAGGCACGCCAGAAACTTATGAATCCCGGTTCGCCCCGATTATGTTTCTAGGTTTGTCAGCACCATACCCGTGCTCGTGGGTTTCACCGAAGTGGTAAACGTCTGAGACCTGCATCACTTCGGGCTTTCCTCCCACATTAAGCTGACACGCCGTGATATAACTGGAATACTGTTAAAAGCGGCGTTAAACCCAACTCACTCACTCACTCACTCGTTCATTCATAAATTGGCATTAGACTGAAAGTCAACTTATTCGTTGCGACCAGAATAGTTCAGTCAATCTTCGGTTGGACCTCCAATTAATTCCAACAGTAACAATTTCTGATAAAATTCAATCAGAAAATATGTAATTTACACATACATGTACTAGCAGTCAAAAAAACCTAATGAGGGGAACATACTGAATTGTCCGATTAAAGTGTGAAATTTTATGTTGAAAACGTATGGGTCGCCGCACAGGTAAAGGGAGATAAATCCTTACGATGTGAAGCTGACGAAATGTGTTTACCTTGTGATTCGGAACTAATTATTTGTAACAAATGTTGTTTTCAATATGGTGGCAGATTTATAATATGATATCAATTTCAAAGCAAACAAAAACTAAACATAACATGAAACAAACACGTGTTTGTTCATGTTTCTGTATGTATGATTATGCCACGTGTTACGTGATACGAATCATACGGTAGCTTACTACTGCAAACGGTTTTTACAAGCTAAATTTGAGTATATGTATAGCTTAAGAAATTGATATATATTAAGTTATTGCTTTCCAACCGCGATATTCAACGGAATATCTTATTATAGGTAAACTTTTCGTTAAATTCTCAATGAAAGAATAATTAAACACTGTGAAAACAATAAAATACTTGATAATTGCCAATCAGGATTTACAAAGGGATTCAGAACATCTGACAATATCTTCACACAAAAAAACATAATTGACAGCTCCAAAACCAAGAAAAAGGAACTCTATGCCTGCTTTGTCGTGTATTTGAGACTTGTGTGTCAAGCCGCTCCATGGGGTGTCTAGGGACACAATTAGCAGGTGGATAAAAACCGGATTGGATCGCGCAAGTATTGATACTACCTTGTATGGGTCCCATTGTATCATGGCCGGAAGTGTCTCTGCAGCCCACGGAGTCCACGTACCTCTTGATTACCTCGGAGTCATCATTGACCAAAACCTGACCATGGATTGTCAAGTAAACAATATCTGCAAAAGTTGCTACTTCCACATTCGAAATATCAGTCAGATAAGACCCATGTTGACATACGTTGCGGCGCTGAAGAAATGGACTTTATTATTATTATTATTATTATATTCTTGATAAAGCAGCATGGTCATCTGCCAAGACTGCCGCAAAATATTATCACCATTGACATGATTGAGAAATCCACCTATGCAACACTGTGTTGTCAGTTTGGTAATGAAGGTTATCTTAAAGTGTCATATGATCTTGTACGAGCCCCTTTGCTGCACATTGCTGTTCGATTGCGTGAATAATTCAACACACTGAATAACATTGTGACGTCTTCTCAGGTACTGTGAACAATGATTTACTCTTATTGTTTGATGATTTGATGATTATGATTTTTAAATAGTTCATCATTTCTGTTGTTGAGTTGGGAACGCGCTTAACCCACACGTGTCATGGGTGGGCAATGTGTGTGCAGCGTGTGTTCAAAGCAAACCGGGTTTCAGTTTTATTTAACAAATTGATCAAATGAATTGTGAGTTAAAACCAAACAATGAGATGTGAATCTCAGTCATGAGCGGCCATTGACCTGTGTCCACCAGACAATAAGAAGGGGTCGTCTCGTCAATGGGACCCAATCCTGAATAAGAAGGGGTCGTCTCCAAAGCCAATAGGAAATAATTCAGGGTTCACCAAATTAGAGGTGTTATTACATAGCCAACATGAGCGTATACATTGATGTACACCACAATTTATTTTCATTATTTTTTATTACAAGATCCATATTCAAATACGACTCCACACCTGTCGCCTCCGTCTCACTAGCCCCCTGTTGTTACAAGACATAATTGAGTACCAGTAGCCACACCCACACCACCCCACCCACCAGACAATCCGATGATTGATATGAGCATCGATCTACCCAATTGGGATACGATGACATGCATCAACCAAGTCAGATAACCTGACCACACGATCCCGTTAGTCGCCTCTTACGACAAGCATGGGTTGCTGAAGACATATTCTACCCAGGATCTTCTCGGGTCTATTTACCATGGTCGAACTTCGAGAGGTAGCATAAATTGTTGTATCAAACTTCTCTGTTGATAAAAACATCCGAGTTTTTTGTTGGATATGATGTTATACGAATGGTATTTATGAAAACAAAACAAACAAAAAACACAAGTTTGAATTTGTATACGACTTTGTTCTATGACCTCAGAGTGTTAGGGCTGGGGCTGAATGCAAATGCTTTATCATGGTGCTAGCACGTTTCAAAACGTCCCTCAGAGTGTTCTTTGGGGAGAGTGCCAGCATTACCAAACCACAGCAACCAATGCATACTCTCACAAATCTGGTCGTGCTTGTTCAGCTTGTCCTCGGTGACAGGCTCCCGACGTCACGTCATTTACTGTATAAGCAGTTTAATGTGACAAACATTCGCATCAGCATGGCCACACTAACATGCGGTTGGGGTCACCTGGTCTCGGTCCTCAACGTCAGGTAACGTCTACCGCGTCACAGTCAATTTCGATTGCAATAGTGCCAACATCATTTGTCGTCAGCTCTGTTCGCAGATGAGAGCAGATTCACCCTTCCATCCATAATGGCGTAAGCATTTTTACAGTCGGTACCATGAGTGTTAAGGATGCTTTTGTATGATGTTTAATAATTTAGGACAGTGTTTCGTCGCTTATACTTGTGTTCACACACAATAATATTTGTGTTGTATCTCTGAAAGTCAATACATGTCAATGCTTTCCCCTTCCTTATATTCTTTGTGTAGCTGGGGATAGGTGAGGAGAAGATTAACTACAACAAAATGAAACATACACTACTGCAGTAAAAGCCAACAGCATGACACAGCATGCAAATACAAGTTGAACATTAAACATAAATATTTCAGCTTATTTACACATAACAAAGCTTACTGAGTTAATGCTTAATATTACGCAAACATGCATACCATTTGATATGACCACGCGACTGTACATTCTTCTTTGACAGCCCATCTACATTCAAATCTCGGGAGCGCCTCCGTGGTCTCGTGGTACAGCGCCCGCCCAAAGAGCGTTTGATCCCCGGCCGCGTCATACTAATAAACGTTAAAAGATGGTACTTGTTGTTACCCTGCCTGGCGCTCGGCATTAAGGGGATAAAACAAGGACTGGTCGGCTCGGAGTCATTATACTGTGTCTGAGTGGGGTATTCATGTTAAACTGCGGCATAGTATCTCAGTGTGCTAGCACTATAAATCGGCATCAGTCCGGACTAGTACAAGCAGCCACACACACTCATGTGCATGCACGTCGCTATATACGTGCAATAATCTTGGACTCGACGTTAAACCCTATTTCATCTCACCTCACCTCAAATCTCGGATCTTGGATCCCCGAACAATGAGAGTAACCTCCCTTTTTAACAGACAACATCACAGCGCCGTAAAATCATTGAACAGCAAAACACATTCAAACACTGCAGGCTATAATTGGCCGCTACAATTTGATATAACTCAGCGATGTAAAGTGCATTTCAACTTTTCCCCCATTTCAGCTGGGGGAATTATTGGGCGTTAAGATCTTTGGCAACTCTACCATCAGTTCCACCCAAATTGGGATACCGAGAGGAAGCCCTGTCAGTTTCTTGTCTATGTGGCGACGCATGACGATATTTGTCACTGGCACGGAAGTGACGTCATACTCGAGGCGACCAATTAAACGCCAATTGGTGGTACAATGAATGTTAGTGATATATGGTGTGTGTGTGTGCACGTCTGTCTGTCTCTCTGTCTCTATTAAGAACAACAACACATATTATAAATTATATAAATATGTATTGAGACAAGTAAAATGTGTATCAATCTTTATTACAGAACTACTGAAAGGCCATAGGTCTACAGTACACATATTTGCGCATAGTGGGTGGACATATTGATTTCTACTTGTTCAAGTCACTCATCTTATCATTTCTAAAATTAATATGCATGGAATATATACGCAGTCAAAGGCTTCAGTACATAAATATTTTTTTAAGACATTAATTCATTATACTTAAAGATATTGCATGCAATTCGTAAATTCTAATAAATGGACAAATGAGAACAAAATGGTAATCATCCTCTATTATTCGTAGATTACACATTCTACATAATCTAATTTCCTTTGGGTTTTTTTAATGTCCTCCCGTTTTAATATTTAATTCATGTGATGAGCATCTGAATCTAGAAAATGCAATTCTATATATGTATTTTCAAAAGATATTGTGAAGCTATAAGATGTGTTTTTAACAAACTAAAGTACTGACATTTCCATAGAAAACAACACAAATACGTCTCCAATATGTATCACTCTTATACCACAGGACGCCTGGCATGCATTGATGGGCACGTTGTTTCAGTGACTTTACACTATAGAATACACTTATAGTTTCAAATACGAGGGGTGGCTGACCATGTCTGAGCCTAACTATGAAGGGTGTAAAATACATGGACACCTTTAACAGTTTGTGCATATTCCCGAGCTTACGAGTTTCATTTGAACCATATTCCCCAGGCAGCATATTTCTGCAGTGACTCTGTGAAAATGGACACAATTTGCTACCGTGATGTCATCAAGAATCTTCAACTGAAAGGACTAACTCCTATAGCCACCCATATTGACATGGTGGCAACTTTAGGGGATAGTTCTGTAAAGAAATGGGCAGCGGAGATCACGAGAAGAGATGATCGAAGATGATCGAAGATGATCGAAGATGAGCAAGATCTTCAACTGTCACATGATATGGCTATGGACGATCGAAGAATGCAAAGTCTGTTCCAAGGTGATGTCGCTTCCAAGGGAATCCATACTTATGGACAACCTTCTATAAGGTCAGACCATTAATGGAATATTATGCTGATCGTCTCGGGCAACTGCATGACAATATCAAGGCTTAAGGTCGTGGAATACTCCGCCAATGCAGTCCATCTCAGTTAGGCTCAGAACCTTTCAACTACCCCCCGTTGCATTAATGTTTATGGCATGCTAACAAATATGGACGTTTTGATAGGTCATCTGTTGAGTGATCGCTGTAATATTCGAATTAAATATGTTTCCGTAAGTTTTCTAAAACAATCTTCACCAGATTCACCCATCTAAACATTTTCCTTAAGGGCACGTATCGGTGGGCAATTAATGGATTGCATCTGGCTTCGGGATAGTCTATTTGTTGTTTGTGGACTCTCGCTCTGGCTCTACGTCATTGTTCTTTGCAGTCTTCGTATTTGATTTATTTACATATATTACATATGAGACAGGTCAATTCATGAAGGAGCGTACCCAGAATTGTTCTTGTTAAAGTTCACCCTTGTCCTCTGATGTATGCGAACAGCTTCATATTATTTAATAGACAGTTAGAAATGGAATCTTTATCACAGCAGATGTTCCGAACACTGTAGCTTTATGTGACAGGGGTATCTGATACATTGATGCAACTACTGAGGAACATAAACATGCTTGAAACATTTTGTCATAACCCCCAAGTGAGAGGAAACATCAATAAAACTAAATCCATGCAATGATGGTCTTTCTCATACATTTTTTAATGTACGCACCAATCATAATTCATACAATTCCAATTACTTAATAGATTTTTCACTAGTGACATGCAATGACATGTCATCACCTTTACCTCATACACCACACCCCTAAATAATGGGGAGGATATAACCGAGCGATTTTCTGACATCTAGTTATAGAATTGTGACTGCGTGTATGCCGTTTGCGCCCAGTGGAAGTTGTTTGGGTGGATAATCAAGACTGGTTATTCTCTGGCATTGACGTTTCATATTTCCTTAACGTCGCACTCAGCAATATCCTAGCTACATGAAGGCAGTCTGAAACTAACGGAGTCTGGAACTATCTATGCAGTTGGGTATGATGACATCCATCAACCTCGTCAGCGAGCCTGACCACCCGTTTCCATGAGTCGCTCTCACGACAACATATGTAACCGAGTGTGTGTGAATAGTGCTTGAGGAAGTGAGCACCAGGAAGCAGGAGGCTGGCGGTCATCGTAACAAAGGTCACTGCAGCATCTGCCCGTTGTACAGCAACCCTGTATCCGAAATGATAGTCAGATTTGAAAGAGTGATGGAACGTCTTGTTTAGACATATATGTTTACACAGTACCAAATAAATACTGGAAGCAACACATTACTATCAGTATCATATTAACAACATAGAAAACAATCTTATTCTTTGGATGCAACTTTGTGTTTTGACCAAGATATCTCGCACCTGAATTCAAGGTGAGGTGAATGGGGTGTAACAGCGCGTTCCACGATTATTGCACTTAAGTAGCCATGTGCATCTACATGTACGTGTGTGTGTTTGTGGCTGCTTGTACTATTCGGGACTAATGGGCCTACAGAGATACCATGCAGCACATGAACAAGATTACTCCAGTCCATGTTCTATCCCCTTAAAGCCGAGAGCCAGATTGGGTGACATAAAGTACCATGTTTTACCCTCTTTTGGTATAACACTGCTGGGGATCGAACCCCGGACTTTCCGCTCTCCGGCCAGACAATCTATCCACAACAACATGGAAACGGTCTCCTTGCATTGAAACACAACCTAACAAACCATAGCATATAATGACACCTTGTCTCTAACTTTTGTATAATATATGCATCCGATTAAAGCAAATTCTTATGCAAGTTGTATTGGTTTATTAAAACGATTCATTTAAGAAGAGGGGCGGTCGGGTAGCCTAGTGGTTAAAGCGTTCGCTCGTCACGCTGAAGACCCGGGTTCGATTCCCGACATGGGTACAATGTGTGAAGCCCATTTCTGGGGTCCCCCGTCGTGATATTGCTGGAATATTGCTAAAAGCGGCGTAAAACCATACTCACTCACTCACTCACTCACTCACTCACTCACTCACTCACTCATTTAAGAAGAAGTAACATTTTCCATACGAACCTGCAATGGAACCGGTCATGAACGTGGCTACGTTTCCCGCAATAAGGGCCCGGATGACGAGTTTGGCGATGTCCTGTTTCCGTTCAGGTGCCATGGGAACCAGAGTCCCCAGTGTAATACCTATAGAGGTGACGGTGGAGAAGCCACAGAGAGCGTAGGTAGCTATGACTTCACTTCTCTCCTGGGTAGAAACAAAACACATGTTCAAAATACTGTATCAAAACTGATAGTTATCAAATAATCACATTATATGCAACCATTGTCGGACTTTTCTTCTATAAATCGTGAGACAGACACTTCCTCCTTTTACAATAAGCAAGTATCCTCATACAAGAGGCCCCGCTTACTACGTTGACACAATGTCCGCATGGATGACTGTAGGAGTTAGTCCTTTCAGTCTGAGATTTTGGATGACATCACGATAGCAAATTTGTGTCCATTTTCATCACGAGAGAATACTAGTCACTTTGATGCCTACAGAATTACAGAAGATCAAACAGATATTCCGATTCATATGCATAATATAGCAGATGCGCAAGTAGGGGAGCACAGTTGGTGCCCATGGGCATACCACTTCTTGCCTAAATGTCTTTCCCCGAACTTTCACATAGCTGTTTCATTATCAAAGAGGAAGTCCAGCATTTCACATATTGTTTTCTAAGTAAACATCAGATGGCAATTGCTTTCATTTTGAAATCTCTGAAAATAAATGTGTAACTTTATCTATTTTCACCACGTTTTGTAACAAAAGCCCAATGGATCAAGGAATTAAGTTTATCATGTGGGATAGTGGTGTAGTCAAGTCAAAGATGTTTATTGTATCAAAGGCCATCGGCCCATATACAAGTTCAGATAAATACAGTGGGTGAGAATTTACAGATTGGGAGATACAACAAAAATTATATAAATATAACATTCATTTAACAATCGGTGATAATCATGAGGACTTTCTAGGGTGAGGTAATTAAAATTATGAATTTCCACTCAACATGTTATTTCGTAGTTCCATCCCATGTTTTACAAATAAAGACAGTTTAAACATTACATCGGCATCATTCGATGACAAAATAGAAACAAAAGCTATTCTACTCGTCTTAGATAAGAAACATTCTGGTATATATTTAGTACGTAATTCTGCATAATAAGGACATTCAAAGGTAAAATGTATTTCGTCTTCTATTGCAGAGTTACAGAATGGACAAATTCTTTGTATTCTTTCAAGTGATATATTCCGTCCATAGTTAATCATAAGTTTTGACAAGCCAAGTCTGTATTTAATATATCCATTTCTTAGGTGACTATTTGTTAAAACTGATATAGATATTTTTCTGGCTCTAATAGAGTCTTAAATGTTCTGTACAAATCATAACGTGAACTATTTTCCAAGTTGCATTGCCACCCTTGATAGAACATATTTATTGCTATTTTACGAAAATCATTTGGAAATAAATGTTGATCACCAACAGATTGGTTAAGCCATATATCCTCATATCCATGTGAGAATAATAGTGTCCTAATATGCGATACCCATGTAACCTTACCGATACTATCTAAATGAAAGAGCATGTTATAAGCTTTTTTCGGAAGCCGATGTTCTGGCATACGGATGATATTAAACCAATATTTTAAACACTTTATTTGTGAATTAATGTAAAGTGGGTATCTTCCACATTCTCCATATATCATATTATTTGGTGTTGCTATTCCAACGCGAAGAAACTTTTTACATGCCAGTAGGTGAATTCTTTCTAAACATTCATATCTTCGGTAACCCCACACTTCAGATCCATACAATCAAATTGGCTGTATTTGAGTATCAAATAATTTGAAAAATACTTTTGGAGTAATGACTCCAAGTTTATGTGAAACAGACATTATATTAAGTAAAGCTCGTTTCCCTCGCAGTGATAAGTCAGATACACATTTGTTCATATTTAGCGTTGAATTAAACATTATGCCGAGATACTTATAACCATTAACTACATTAATTTGTTGTCCATTTAAGTACCATCTTTCCCTAAAATTTAAAAGACCCCCTTTTCTGAATACTATAATTTCTGTCTTATCTAAATTTACAGATAAATTCCATTCCTTAGTATATTTATCTAATACATTCAACTGATTCTGTAGACCAATAACAGTGTCAGATAGTAAAATAACATCATCGGCAAAAAGGAGCATAAGAAGTTCAAGGAAGTCAGGATACATCTGTATACCATGCTTGCCGTTACTTGAGATTTCATAATATAATTCGCTTATGAAAAACGAAAATAACAGAGGACTCAGTATACATCCCTGACGTAAACCAGATGGGCAATTGATAAAATCAGTAACACCATAATCACTACGTACACATGACTTGATATTTGAATACATTGATTGTAGTATATTAAACATCTTCCCTTGTAGTCCAGCTTTTCTTAAAAAACACCATAATTTATAACGATCAACTGTATCAAATGCCTTTTTAAAATCAATAAAAGCAACGTAAACCTTGTGTTTACGACGTGTTAGACATTTTTGAATTGCAGCATATAATGTAAAAATATGATCTATGGTTGAATAATTTTTTCTAAAACCAGCTTGAACTTCCGGTATCTTATCTCTCATATTCGCCCAGTTAGTTAGCCTGTTATTCAAAGTCAAATATCAAATGAAAAATCCAATTTTTTTTACAGAATTGAAATAGTTTCTTTTCTGAAATTGTAAGACATCAAGCAAATCCTTTGTGGTTTTCGGAATCCACATGGTGTTTATTCCACTTATCTCAAATACTTTCTGTGAATATATGGAGTCCTTCTTTTATTGTACATTAAACTACGTTTATAACGAACACGCTTATTACGAACTGACCTATATAACGAACTTTGTTTTTAGTCCCGACAATTAGTTGTATATATGTTGAATGTATGCTTATAACGAACTACGGTTATTACGAACAAAAAGTAGCAGTCCCCTCAAGTTCGTTATAACAATAGTTTACTGTATTAGGGATTAGTGTTTCGTTTGTGAGACAGGCAAAACACCACGCTAAACGAATTCTCCGATGATGATCGGCAAGAAAGGGACTTTTGATAAGCCTTCTGGACTGACGCCGACTTCAGTCGATTCTTCACTGTTCTGGTTGACATCCGTATATTGTGTAACCGTTGTCGCTTCAGAAAAAATGTTGACAATGGTTGACAACTTACAAGCCTTGGCGTCATGCGAGGTCTTCCTGATCGTGGGAGATCCTGTACAGCATGGGTTTGCCCGCGTTTTCGTACCAGTCTGCTGATTACACACTCACACACACACACACACACACACACACACACACACACACACACACACACACACACCATATATCACTTACATCCATGATGCCACCAAGGAGCGTCTGATTGGTCGCCTCGAGTATGACGTCACTACCCTGCCAGTGCCACGTGTCGTTATGCGTGGTCACATAGTCAAGAAGCTGAAAGCGGTTTCGTCTCAGTATCCCGAGCTCGGTGAAACTGATGGTGGAGGTGCCAAAGATCTTAACGCCCAACATTTCCCCCATCTTCCCGCAATCCTGGGTGGCCACGCCCATCATGTACGAGAATGGGTAGAATAGATAGGAACACACAAGCTGAAATGATACCACAATCATACAGCTGAAATGCACTTTACGTCGCTGAGTTATATCAAACATTATGAATTATAAGCGACAGAACTCCTTTCCTCGAAGGCTGGAATCCAAACATGAAAAAACGTGAGTTTCCAATTAGTCGCTGACTGGCTATTTTAGTTCTCTGCTGGGAAGATCTTACCTGCCTGCGACAGACAGGGCTGTACTGGGTATCGGAGCCAGTCAAGGTCTACGCATTGCAAGTACTTCAAAAGTAATTATATAAACACATGTGTTTAATTGTAAATTTGAAAATGTGAGACGAAAATCCCATTTTAACTAAACCATCCAGCTTTACCGTTTTCGGTAAAAATGAGCTTACAAAAGTTTCTGAAACAGATCATATTTTTATAAATAATACAATACATTAGAGATCATATGCACATATACATGTATGACATGAAATACCACTTTTATATCATATCTATATAATGCATCAGAGACTTAATATGAATGTGTGTATATAGTAGATGACCAATCCATACAAATAAAATAATAAAATATTTAATCTTCTATTTCATTAATTAACTGCTGAAAATGTTAGTTATTTTCAATATGACAACATTCACAATATAAAAATGTGTCTCATTTCCTTATACTGAACATATATTTTCCCTTTTCAAATGAAATACATCAATATAATATCTTGTCTTTGCATGTAATAAGGATCAATAGTTTTTACCTTCCATCACTGAGTCCTTTAGCTTTTATTCCATATCAGAAATGAACGTACATTAAACTATATATTCACATGTCACTGTAGAAGTTCACTTTTATCAGATAATTCAGAAACGAGGGAAATGTCGTCCAAGGCCTGTAGTCAATTGACAGTGTCTTACCGTGTTAGAGATAGGGTAGGAGATACATAGTACAGCAAGCAGGGTACAGAAAATTGTAATTAGAGTGAGTCGAGAATGAGTAGTGGTGGTACTTGGGGGTTAAAGGAAATATTAACATTAAATTTATTAACAGATGACCCAAATGCGAATAATATATACAGTAAACTACGGTTATAACGAACTCATAGAGACCACTAATTTTAGTTCGTATAGCCGTAGTTCGTTATATACATATATACAGCATATATATCCTATAATCCTACAACAGCATCCTTACAACTCATGGAGTGTAAACATGTCTACGGCCACCATGACGGAAGGATTGAACCTCTCTTCTGTAAACAGAGCTGACGTAAATCATGTTGATTCAAACGCAGATGACGTCGGCACAATTGCAAATAAACTTGACTACAACGCTGTAGGCGTTACCCGTCTTCGAGGACGACAACTGCATCTTTGTGTAGTCATGATGATGCGAACGTTTGTCACATTAAACTGCTTATCCGTTACATGACGTGAAACCTGCTACCGAGGACAAGGTGAATAAGCATGACCAGATCTTTGAGCAAACGCAACAGTTCCCGTGGCTTGGTAATGTTGCCACCGTCGCCGAGTAACAATCTTGAGAGACGTTATAGCGTACTACACCATGATAAAGCAGTTACTTACAGTCCCAGCCTTGACACCGAGGTCATTATCAATAGCTTTCATCCAAAAGGAACAAAAGCCCTTCAAAATTGTGTTGTTTTTTATGGAAACCATTCGCATGACAACTCATTCAACTAAGAACTCTGTTGTTTCAGAGAAGATTAGTATATGTAACTTTCCTCTCTGAACTCGAAGTTCGTCTATGGTGTACCAGTATATATTCACCCCAAACGAAAGGCCGGCGAATCCCGCCTGGTTCCCGAACCACTCCAGGGTCTTGTCAACAAACTTTATGAGGGCGATGAAGGCGATCATTGTTGCGATGATGTTGGCGATGATTTTGACGGCCGCAACGGCACCGCTGGACAGAGCGGAGAGGATGTTACGATGTTTCCTGGAAGACAACGTTCTCAGTATCTATGTTAATAAAACAAATGACAAAATCAGTTCCATAATCATAAGCAATATCTGCTAACAGTAGAGTCCATGTATCATAAGCACTTTTATGACACACTATCAAATAGTGATGATATCAGGAGTGAGTGAGTTGGGTTTAACACCGCTTTTAACAGTATTCCAGTTACATCACGGCGTGTCAGGTTAATGTGGGAGGAAAGCCCCAAGTGATGCAGGTCTCAGACGTTTACCACTTCGGTGAAACCCACGAGCACAGGTATGGTGCTGACAAACCAAGAAACATAATCGGGCGGACCGGGATTCGAACCCACACTCATAGGTTTCTGGCGTGCCCAAGGGAATCGCGGCGCTTTAGATGACTGGGCCACCCGTGTCCCCGATGATGTCAGGAGAAATACACAAAGGTAGGCAGCCTCGATTATCCGCCGCAACATATTCCATTGGGCGTAATAGGCAACATAGTGATAAAATTATATGAATGGATCACTGAAAAGAAGTGATGACACCAGGTGTTCGCGAAAAAGGTCTGTCCTTCCCCACTGGAAGCACCACCAGTCGCCTAATTTGCATAAAATGTGTGGGGCGAATACATAGTTCGGAAGAAATTGTCATTGACGAGTTCGGGGTTCGCCTCACTGTCGACTGAACAACAGTCCTTACTTAGTATCACAATGTACCCTTTCTTGTAAATGTCAACAAGTGTGCGGAAATCGCAAAAGCGATCGGGCATTTCCGAAATTCTTGAGTAACGCACGTATGTCGTGTGTCGTGTGTCGTGTGTCGTGTGTCGTATGTCGTATGTCGTATGTCGTGTGTCGTATGTCGTATGTCGTGTGTCGTGTGTCGTGTGTCGCGTGTCGTGTGTCGTATGTCGTGTGTCGTATGTCGTATGTCATTGGTTGTCGCAATGCCGACCTGGCGCACAGTAAATCGTGGTCAAGTTAACATATATTATTTTACAATGGGAGAAAATGTGGAAAGGAAATTGAAATGGTAGTACGAATGTCACCAGTGCTCCCACATATAGCATGAATGACACCAGTGCTCCCATATATAGCATGAATGACACCAGTGTCCCATATATAGCATGAATGACACCGGTGCTCCCATATATAGCATGGATGACACCAGTGCTCCCATATATAGCATGAATGACACCGGTGTTCCCATGTATAGCATGAATGACACCAGTGTCCCATATATAGCATGAATGACACCAGTGTTCCCATATATAGCATGGATGACACCAATGTCCCATATATAGCATGAATGACACCGGTGTTCCCATGTATAGCATGAATGACACCAGTGTCCCATATATAGCATGAATGACACCAGTGTCCCATATATAGCATGAATGACACCAGTGTCCCATATATAGCATAAATGACACCAGTGTTCCCATGTATAGCATGGATGACACCAGTGTCCCATATATAGCATGGATGTGTTTGCTACCAACAACACAATAATGGGTCTCAATGAATGTGAGAATATACGCATATGTCAAGTACCTCTCTGTGTGTTTGTGTATGCATAAGAGACAAATCTCACACTTGGATATGATTGTAAACGGGGCCCCAACTCAGATATAGATAATGGGGTTGAATGCCCCAGGGAGTGTAAGGCAAATGAAATCAGAAGTGCGTTAAGTACATTAATCATAACATAATGTAGGAATCAAAGTGAATGGCAAACAAAGGAAACTTCAACCGGTATCGTTATCTGCACGAAGGCACACATTCCCTTGCTATTTGTAGCCCAGTTGATGTCGGCATTAACATGTTTAACAGCAGGAATTCAACTATCTAAACAGTTCACTCCATTCCTAACAAACACATTCTGTCAACAATCTACTTATAATGTACATTCCTTCCTTCCTCCGATTCACACAGCCACAAAGTCTCATCTATCTTAATCACTCAACCAACTCACCCAAGTCACAACTATCTCAATCACCCAACCAACTCTCTCCCAATTACAAATAGTACATAACATCCAGTAACTCACTCTAGTCCCAGTTCCATCTTCACTCCATCTCTGAAGTACGACTTCTTTGTTTCTGGACACATGAGTTTGGTGACGGCGAGAGCGGCGGGGGCGGACATCACGGCAGCGGACAACAGATGGTTGGCGGGAACCTGCACGCGTGACATGTGGATGGTAACTAAATAGTTATACTCCATGTCCAATCTGACCTGCACTACCTCAAACTCCAAAGACGTTTTATAGGAATCATGTAGCGTTTTCCACAGTCAGTGGTAACGCTACCCAGAAAATCCAGCAAAAAGTTCGATATCAGTGTCTGGCAAGATACACATAATAATACAAGCCATTTCCATAATCCTATGAAATCTCTGCTAAAAGAGGTGACTATATCATGAGCATGAAAAACTATCAGTTAGTGATGATACCAGGTGTTCGCGAAAGGGGGAGCGTATCCTGACCCACCGGAGGAAACCGTCACAAACACATGCATAGGCAAGTCCATTGTTCGCCTAACAAAAACACGGGAAACTGATGGGTCAGATTTGAAAACGTCCTACTAGGAAAAGAAACGCCAACTGGGGCATTGATCATTGACAAATTTAGCTGAGTGAAAGTATTTATTGTAAGATGAACTAGTTTGTTTGTTTGTTTATTTGTTGTTTAGTACTCACTCCGAGCTGTATGTACGACCCCATGACGCCGCCACTGACGCTGGCGAAACCACACGTCATGATGGCATGGAGTTCTGATTCCGTCGCACGCTTCAAGTACGGTCGAACCAAGAGGGGCACTTCAGTCTATAAGGTATAGTTACACGAGCGTGTGATGTCATACTCAAAGTAAGGTATCTCTTTACAGAATATTGGACAGGCCACTACTTTTTATCCATGATTTCGGTGTAAGAAAGTCGATTTGTTTCCCTTTTACAAGTTTTCATAAAAGTGAGTGAGTGAGTTGGGTTTAACGCCGCTTTTAACAGTATTCCAGTTATATCACGGCGTGTCAGCTTAATGTGGGAGGAAAGCCCGAAGTGATGCAGGTCGCAGATGTTTACCACTTCGGTGAAACCCACGAGCACGGGTATGGTGCTGACAAACTTAGAAACATAATCGGGGCGAACCGGGATTCGAACCAACAATCATAGGTTTCTGGCGTGCCCAAAGGACGCTGCTATGCACAGCGAATCGCAGCGCCTTAGACGTCTGGGCCACCCGTGCCCCCTTTCATAAAAGATGCAAACTTTCAAACAACACGAGATAATACGTGTGAAATTATACATGCACTTCAGATTCAGTTATGTCGGGGGATGAGGTGTGTAAATAAACCCTGTATTGTGGACCTCGTAATGTTACCATAAAATAAAGAATATACAATAGGAGAAGTGAGTTGAACGCTGCTTTGAACAGAACAACGGTTATATCACAGATTGTCAGCTTAATGTAATCCACACGTGATGCTTAGATGTCTACCATATTGATTAAACGTTTGTGTTAAACGACAAATCATAACCAGAGCACATCTGGGATTCGAACCAACTAGCATAGGATTCTTACACGCATCAGGGAGGTAACTCTTGAAGGCCAATTTGGGTTCATTAAATGCTTTACCATTTGTGAACATAAACATAATTAATGTTGCAAATGTTCTTTTCCCTACCAGCCCAACGAAGATGTTCGCCGAGGCTACCACAGACTCGATGGGCCCACAGTCCAGACAGAAGGACAGAAAGGATCCCAGTTTATTCATGATCGCCTGAAGGACACCCATGTGGTACAACACGGATATCGAGGCGTTGAAAAACAACACCCCTGGCATCACCTACAACATGAAGACGATGGAGTTAAAGGGTAGCAGTAAATATAATGTTAACTCAAGGGGTAAAAACGTTCACTTAAGTATTTGTCTTGTATATATATTTAATGGTAGTTATGTTGACAAGATATCAAACATACCCACAGCTTCACAATGTTTCCTCGCTTGCATATTTCAACTTCAAAAGGAAACACTTCTCCAAGCTTTATTGCATCTGACACACATGTAATTTTGAAGTATAACGTTCGATAACACTTCAGCAGAACACAAGCAGTTTGACCATCTTTCCAGGCCGTTCTTCAACAGAAGTTTATAGCAATGCATGTCGACCACCATGTTAAGGGTTTGGTTCTTTGGACCATTGGAAGCAATTAGTAAGTCCGACATTCCTTTAGACACTGGACGCTTTGGCACTAAATTCTAGATTCTAACGCTAAAGTCTAATGCATTCAATGTTCATCCTTTATGTTCTTGTGTATAATAAATGGAAATAATCACGAGTTTCTTCTACTCACACCAAAGGCTATCATGTGATCCCGGTAGGACTTCCCGAACACAAACTCTGCTCCAGCATTAGCGTGGTTTATGAATTCCTCCACACGTTGTCCAATCCACTCAAACACCCCATACCCCCAGGGCGTCCGTAGAATAAGCAGGGCGAACACAAACTGAACCGCAATACCCCAGAACACGGGATGCCAGTCCACCTGAAGACGAAAATGTTTCGTACTAAAATGTTAAGAGTTGTGTCGGTAATATATTACCGCATTTATACACTGCAAGAATGTGTTAAGGTATTAAACTGGTGCTTAGGACTTTAGTTAAAGTCCCAAAAGGAACAAAGAGTTTATTCAGTATTGAAGGCCTCGTCGCCCAGCGTACAATTTCTTTCACAAAACATGAGTACGATAGTGGCATGTGGATTATTTACGTAATTTCTAAATATAAAAGTATATATCTATAATTAAAATTATATCTTCTTCTAAATCAGCTTGTACTTGTAAATCATCAGCATTTTATAACAAGCATGTGGAAGTCGATTTTAATTCATTCGTATCAATCTACACCAATACCTTATACATCGGCCGAAACAAATAACACTTAGATGATAACTTCACCAAGAACCGCATTAGATGATGCTTTAATCCTGATTGACAAATAACTCTTTAAAAAGACCTTTGGGCATTTTCTATACCTTCTCTAAATGTATCATCAATGAACAGCATATACGACTATTTAAGAGAAATAATAAAAATAATGGCAATATTTACACACTGTCATATATGTTCATAGTAACTTGAATGCTCTTTTATTTCGTGAACTGCGTAATGAATGCACATTTGGCGGCCAAATGGCACGTACATTTCAAACGTTGGTCATACGGGCCACGAATGAATCACTTAAAGTGATTTCGAGGTTTTGGAATTTCATAGACAACAACAGACCGTGAATACAGTCAGATATGTCATCATTGAGCATAAAGCCAAGTCAAGAGCTACTATCGATGTGCAACTAAGTGATTGAAAAGTGTTGTCGAGAGACAGACATCACTATTACTGCTATAACCAAATACGTTTAAGAATGTAGTCATCAAGCATGAGGTAGTTCCAGGGACAGATGGAGATGTCCTCACTTCAGATCGCCAGAGTCTTGAAACGTGTTTGTTTGAAGACATGCTCAGAGCTACTACTATTGTACCACAGCACAGACAGACCTACATGGTGCTAACTCAGTGGTGTCATCAGCTGGCATCACCTCCAAGCTATAAGACAGACGCTGTGAGTGATTTGGATTTGACACCTGCTGTTGTACCCTTCCACATAGGATTGGTCCAACAAGGTAACGTCCTCTCTCACACAGATGATGTTTCAATTTTCTTAGGAACGGTAACATCTGGGTACTGCCTTGTCCAATTACGATTCCTTAACTTAACCCCAGTGAATGGCGACCTAATCATTGAAGCTCTGCAAGAGGAGTACCTCTAGAGCCTACAGGCAACAATAAGGGCCCTGATCAATGCATTTCACAAGGTGTCAGGCAGTTGACAGGATCCTAGAGTGTCACACTTGTTCGAAACATTCAACCCTCGTATAACATCCTTGATGAAACAGATACAAGATAAGCGGTTAGAGATACACTTCAAGACAATTGCATTCAATTCAATCCCTATGTATGTCCATACATATATATCAATCGTTCATGTTAACGTGGGCGGTCGGGTAGCCTAGTGGTTAAAGCGTTCGTTCGTCACGCCGAAGGCCCGGATTCGATTCCCGACAAGGGGTACAATGTGTGAAGCCCATTTCTGGTGACCGCCGCCAGGATATTGCTGGAATATTGCTAAAAACGGCGTAAAACCATACTCACTCACTCACTCACTCATGGTAACGCTTACCAAATAATTGCTTTGTTTATATCATTATCACTCGGTGTAATAAGAAAACATGGCTGGTACCTCACATGTATCACACTTGGTGTTCTGGTCCTATCCACGTTCCTACATGTACTTACCCTGGCCGGACTGGTGGAGAAGACAAACCCAAGAGCCACAAACACGCCTACCCCCAGAAGTGCCTGGATATTCTGGGGGTTGTACCTGACCACGTCCAGTCCTATGTACACAGCCACCCCGGCACTCACCAGCAGGTACAGGCTCCTGTGAAGACATAGACAGAGGGTTGCTCTGACCAGCGCAGTGTTACTTCATGGCAACAGAGAGGAGAGGACGTCCTTCTGTGACTTGACATAATTAGGTATGTTTTGTTTTTTACAGTAACAGACATTCGAAGTGTACCAACTCACAGATGATCTTGGAAATAGAAAGTGTTAAACCTTTGGCCAGGGACTGGCTGTCACACTGACTTGGATATATGGAGTAATTCCATGCATCAATGAATATTTGAGATTCATTCTGATACACTGCTGATATTTATACCTTCTGATCCATCGTCGCACTTTCAGTGCCTTACTTCCTTCCCACACTGACGTACATCGTCCAAGGCAGGTGAAAGTGCACAGACCTTTGGTTGTTTTGTTCACCAGGTACAAAATTACAAGTAGTGTTCCAACCATCAGACGAATGGACCCTTCGTCTCCGAATCTGTGTTTTGTCAACAATCAAGGAAAGTATGTTACGGAAATGTCAATTGGTTGGTTGGATGGTTTGTTGTTTAACGCCGCACTCAGCAATATTCCAGCTATATGACGGCGGTCAGATAATCCAGTGATTAATCGATCCAGGTTATGTTTCGACTTCTAACAAGGGACAAGTGTTTTGTAACAGATTAACCATTTCATTGCATCCTCTGGGAACAACAGTTTCATATTCTACAGAGCATGGACCTTGGACAAAAATTGCTGAAAAAATCTTATACAAAATCCTCTTGCTTCAGGTGTTTCTCCAAACATATATTATTCACTGGATGACATGAAACCAATTTATGTTCAGTTCCTTTTAAAACAAGGATATATAATGTAAAATGAAGTGAAATGAAATGTAAATGGAATATTATCACATGAAAAGAACACTTTTTGAAGGTACGATAACGTGTTTGTACGAGTCTCCGGTTATACGACGGTGTTCAATTCAGAGTCGTGAGTGTGTCCACCTTACGCATTGTTGCAGGCCTGACACCTGACACTCAACGTTAACGGAAGCCCAGCCAGTGGCATTTTATTCCATGTCTGACGAAGAATATGCTTCCAGTTCCTGCAAGGCATTTTGGGCATTTGGTTGGTTGGTTGGTTGTTTAACGCCGCACTCAGCAATATTCAAGCGTGAGTGAGCAAGGTTCAATGCCGCTTTAAACTGTAATCCACTTAAATCACAGCCTATCAGTTTAATGTTCAAAGTGATGCAGGTCTCAGACATTTACCACTTTGGCCAACCCACGAGCACGGGTATGGTGCGGATAAACCACCACGGGTATGGTGCGGATAAACCATGAAACATCGACGTGAACCGGGATGCGAACCCGAAATCATAGGCTTCTGGAGTGCCCAAGGCACCTGTTCATAAATAATTTCTCTGGGACAAATCCAAACATTAACGTAAAGGTTTGTAAGTGAAAACAAATCCACATCACAATAATCTTTGTCTTTGATTACACAAATCACTGGTTTCACTTGTAAAGACTTGATTATTATGGGCCACTGTCATTTGACTTGAATCTTGCTAAGTGTGGCATAAGACGAGAAACAAAGAAACCAAAACACTTACTTGTAGAACATACAATACCCGAAGTAGGCCAGGTAAAGCAGCAACAGCAGTCCCTTGACACCAGCAATCATTTGACCCTTGTGTTTGTTCGTGAATCTGCTGACTGAACTCTGAAGCTGCATGATCGCAGAGCTCCAGCAGTTGTCGTCGAAGTCTAGTTCGTCACCTGTGTCTATATTAATCCCAACATCCTTCACTGGATCTCCTGGGTCCGTCATGTTGCAACGTGTGTACCTATGTGAAAATGTGTGTCACTGAGTTTGGTATGACGCCGCTTTAAACTGTATTTCAGTTGCAAAACATACACCTGACAAAACCCTTTCTAAAATCATAATTATAAGAAACATCTGGTAAAAGTCTATTTCGATTATATTTTAAGCTATTTCGACTCTATCATAAGCAGAAGAATCACTATGAAATAGTGACGATGTCAGGTGTTCCTCCCGTCACCCGTCTCCCGTCACCCGTCACAAATACAAGTAAAGGGACAGAAATATGTGGAAGGCAAATAGGGAATTGCTTGGGGCATCAGGTCACTGCGTCAAGTTTTGACATGTTCTCCACATGTCTACCACAACAGTTTTTGAAGACTTTGCTGATGCCTTGAAAGATGGAACTGTGTCCGAGTTGATTTTATTGGTATTTTGTAAATATTTAAGTCAAGTCTTTTAATTGTCTTGTTTCTGTTTCAGCCAGCTTCTGCTTCACGCTAGATTACTTGAGCAGTAACAAAACCAATTAGACTAGTTCAAGCACTTATATAACTACTAGCATAACGATAGCCACGTTCACCTATAGTCACCAACAGCACCAGCGCCCTGCTTTGTCTTCCTTTTCCAGTTTCTTATAACGCAAGTAAACTTTCCTTTTGTTTTAGCTGAGTTTGCTAAATCAGTTGGTCAGTTACATTTGAAAGAATCAGTTGTTCCAATCGTTGTATTTGAACCAACGGATGGTTTATTTGGTGCTCAGGATCTCTAATAGGTTAGTTTGAGTTTGGTTCATATGTATGTATCTTGTAAATATGTCTGTGTATTTAGTTTTATGAATTAGATGCATTAAGGTAATGATACATTGCTTGGTAATTATGATTGGTAACTATATATATATATTAGACTGTAAATAGTTTAAAATATAAACTAGTATTCCATAAGTAGTATCATGTATCTTGATATCTCCAGATATTCTACCAACTGTGCAGCTGGTATTCGTTCTCTCTTAATTCTTTTTGTTGAATCTAAACTAAATCTATTATCAAATTTAACTATTAATCATTGCTATAATATCATCTAACTACATATGTGTATGCAGTTGTATGAAGATTATGATGGAATGGATACGTAAGAAAAGGTAATTTTACTTGTTTTTAATTTTAGTCGCCATTTCCTCTTTCTTGTGCGACCTTATTGTTTCAATTTTCTAGAATATACCAATCGATCTTATGATGTCTGTGATTTGATACACATAGTTGCCAACTCGTTGCCACCAAGCGGTAAGTTATGTATATATTTTGTGTATATTGTGTTTATATCATGGCAATTTGTAGGGGCGGTACTTATGTAAGCGTCTCAAGTATTTAAAGTTGTAATTTGGCCTAAAACAACTAATGTCACTGTAACTACTTATCTGCATGTTTGATAAATTAATGTATAATGTCAAGTATAAATAATATTTAAAGTATGCATAGCCGTGTCTCAAAAGATAGTTTATGCATCGGTGTGTTGACTCCATGTGATATGTTTGTTTTATTTCATCTATTATATATTTTAATTGTATTGTTATGCATATTTGCAGAGTTAGAACCAACTAGCGTATGTACATGAAACAAAGTCCAGCTGTCAACTCACACCCCAATAACTTGTTCTGTGTTTTGCTGCCCTAACCGGACGGAGCCTTGCCCGCTACTACATATTTCTGATGAAATCATTTTTCAGAGCGAGAGTCGTATAACGCTCCTAATATATTCGTAGAAAGAGCAAGGTTAAGTGTACCGAAAAAGTTGTGAAATGTAGACACCAACTGCCTAAATATTGCTCGACACAACGGGAAAGTTGAAGTCATCCCTCATACAGTCGTCTGGAGAGTTTTCTGTCACTCTGAATCTTTATGCGTATATATGATGAGGCGGTTTCACTGCTGTCCTTTACTTCTAGGTGAGATGGGTACATAAGTGGAGGGGAATAGGCTATTTAACCATTATTGAACGCCATGAGATCAGCCATGTACCTGCAGCTTCTTTGCCAAATTGTCTTCTTTTGATCTTGCCTAAACGTCTAATCGTTAAAGTTCACAATGATATTATCAATGAGGAAGCCCTGCATTTCTCATATTTGTTTCTCAGTAAACTTCAGATGACATCAAGAAACTCTACAGATAGAGACGGAAGTATATGGTCACTGCGTTAAGTAACAAATGCTCCATGGATGTAGGAATGAAGGTTTTCCTAAGTTCGTCATGTGGGATAGAGGTGTACAATGTTGAAATATCAAATGTTTTGACCGAATAGTATCACCGCTGACCATTCAGCAAGACAGACGGCAAGGTTGACAGCATCAGACATTTTGAGCGTGAGTTCAACTGGGCTAAATAAGACGAATAAACAAGCAAGGTAAACTGTTCGTGAAACATTTCCAGCAGTAGATGTGTACTGGCAAGTGTGAGTGAGTGTGTATGGTTTTACGCCGCTTTTAGCAATATTCCAGCAATATCAAGGCGGGGGACACCAGAAATGGGCTTCACACAATGTACCCATGTCGGGAATCGAACCCGGGTCTTCGGCGTGACGAGCGAACGCGTTAACCACTAGGCTACCCGACCGTCCCTGGCAAGTGTGAAACTTCATCAGACTTGACTGTGTTGACATGTTCAGCAGATGCATTCGGTGACCTCTAATGGCAAGTTAGAAGCTAAAGTTGAACTCGCAATCTCTTGCGTTTCGACAGCAAGCCTACTACGCACTTAATGAGTAAAATTAAGGACAGATTTAATTTGTTGAATTAGCGTTTTCTCAGTTACGATAAGGCGTTACTTTATCAAAATAATAAAACGGGCTTCAATTTGACAACATGTAATTTTGTCATTTACATGTTCTGGAGAAGAACTTAGCGTGAAACAATATGTCTTGCAACAGACATGACATCACTGACACTTGCTGTTGTTTGGTCAACAAACGCTGTAACCTTGACCTTTCTTTCAGATGATATATAGGCGGTTCATTCCTCTTGAAATTACACCTTTGATAATACATAGAATGTTATACTCCATTCGATTTGTTATCATGGGTATCTCGCTCGTGAAATAATTTTCATATAACGGTTATGTTGTTTGAGGCCTTGTCACTGGAAAATAATGCACACTGTTTATGTAGAACAAACTATTTCACTCTGGACAAACAATTGATGCTCGTGTAATCAAAACGAAGACATAAAGGCCAATTATACGGAAAGGGTCAAAAGACGTTGACATTGCTCATGACTCGATATCTGACACACAACAGACCCTTGAAGATCCGGGGTAGAATAGGTCTTCAGTAACCCTGCTTGCCGTGAAAAGCGACTATGCTTGTCGTAAGAGGCGACTGAAGGGATCGGTTGGTCAGGCTCGCTGACTTGGTTGATGCAAGTCATCGATCCCAATTGCGTGGATCGTTGCTCATGATATTAACCACTGGATTGTCTGGTCCAGTCTCAATTATTTACAGACCGCCGTCATATAGCTGAAATATTGCTGAGTGCGGCGTTAAAAAAACCAAACCAAAGACACACAACAACACGAACAAGGACGTTGATTCTGTTGACAGATTTAGTGTTTAACTATAACCATTTGTTCATAGAAGCCTCGGGCACTGGGCTCCGGCTGATGTACCCAGGACAATTGAACTCAAAGCGTGGACGTACTTGTACGTTAGACCCACGCCGGTGTGTAAAAAACAATAAGCCATTCCAAAAGTTTGAGTATGAGATGTGTGACATTGTACGTGTTTGTTATTTGAGAAGAACCTTTAGTAAAGAACACAGCCTGGACGAAAGAAATATTTAAAATTGCTTTAGGAATCAGGGTATACTCAAATGCGTGAAAAGGACAATCATGGTTCTGCAGCTATGAAAGTGGACAGGTAGCCAGATAGTTGTACCTTTGGGTAAAGTAAAGTGAGGTTCAAAATTTGTAATATGGATAATCATATCAACTTCAACGGTTCAGACTCCAAAGGTTATTTTCCTAACGCGCCCTATCGCTTTCGTGTGAAGTTGTCACATATTTGGCATTGGAAAGACAATGGTAAGTAGCTCTAGTTGAGCTGAGGTTTTCCTTAAGTCGACCTGAATGATATAAATGACGTTGTCCATCTATTGTGCAGTCTGTGCGATAGTTCCCACGTGGTAGATCGTTGCTGAGACGGATGGAGTTACGGGGTGGAGCCAACTACTGAATTCAACCCATTGTGGTACATGCTAGTGATTGTGAAAGACACAGACCGCAATCTGTATCAAGTGTACCACGAGGATGTGTCACTTAGTCAGTAGCGTCGACATCAGTACCAGTGCTCAGAATCAGTCTCCATGTTAAACTGATATCTTGAGCTGGTAGAAAAGAATACAAAATAGAACTTCCTCACTTGCTGAAAAACTATTCTAACGCAGAATCATAACCGGAAAGTAGACCTGCGTCAAAAGGTTAAATGAAAAGTAAAATGTTAAACTCACCTGTGAACTTTAGGTACGATATGTTACAACAACAAGCATGAGTAAGTCCAACACGAACAACCACAATGACGTGCAACACTCGGTGTTCTAGGAGATATGCTCCGGATGTTTTGGGTTCTGTTATCTTGGCTGTCTCACACACACTAATCTTAATAGGTCAACCAACATTTTCACCCAACTAACCTACAGGTTTTCAAGTCGGCAAGTATAGTGTTGACATAACGTCTCCTAACTGAGCAGAATGTAGTCTTGTCGGAGTTTTCTGTTTCTTAGCGAGAAAAAAATTAAATCGAGGTCAGCCAAGATATAGGTTGTATCATCTCTAAACCAGTCTATGCGTAGTATAGAATGAAAGATTGATACACAACTCGAAAAATAAAGTTTATTTTTTAACTGAACCTTTACGGTATAGATAGAGGCGCAGAGATTCGGAGTCGTTCTTTCATACCTGATGTACTTTAAGAGTTAACATATTGTGACTGAGTGTATTAGAACGTTTCACACAAACGAGTTGTTTTTTTTCTAAATAGTGTGTTTTTCTATGCCGAGATTTCTATTTGATATGGAAAGGGTTTTGTCGCTTTATTTAACTATTGACATGAAATGACGTAACAGCATCTTTACTTCATATACCATACCCCTAAACAATGGCTTCCAAGCATGACATAACCACGTGAGTGAGTATAGTGAATGAGAGAGTGGGTGACGAGTAACAGGATTCATCCGAATGGCTGGTCATGGTAACAAAGGTCACTGGAAACTCCGGCCGTTGAACAGCAACCCTGAAAAATGACAACACAACTTGAAAATGTCGACATTGAAACAATCCTATTTTCTGCATGCAAACCCATGAAGATCCGGGTAAGATTAGGTCTTCAGTAACCTTGCCGTAAAAGGTGACTACGCTTGTCGTAAAAGGCGACTAACGGGATCGGGTGGTCAGGCTCGCTGACTTGGTTGATGCATATCATCGTATCCCAAATGCGTGGGTCGATGCGCATGAAGTCAATCACTGGACAGTCTGGTCCAGACTCGAATTTTTACAGACCGCCGTCATATAGCTGGAATTTTGCTGAGTGCGGGGTTAAAAAAAACCACACACAAACAAAGCGTGTATGCAATTTAACTTCATGATGACCAAACGTATGCACCCTCTGCGATCAAACAAAAGGTTACAAAATAACACCTTTTGGTATCTTTCATAATTTTAACATCCGATAAATCTTACCTCGTAGAAAATGGCATTGGTTCCTGAAAAAGATTCCTGAAAGAATAAGTCAATACAAACCTGCAATGGCACCAGTCATGAACGAGGCTACGTTTCCCGCTATAAGAGCCCGGATGACGAGTTTGACAATATCCTGTTTCCGTTCAGGTGCCATGGGAACCAGTGACCCGAGTGTGACACCTATAGCGGTGACGGTGGAGAACCCACAGAGAGCATAGGTAGCTATAACTTCAGTCCGTTCCTGATAAGAGTAAAAAGTAAATGTCTTATTGCTTGGAGCGGTACTACTTCTAGTATTCATATTTAATATTCTCTTCTTATCAAAAACAGGAATGGGTACTGCCCTTATGCATTATGAGTGAGTATTTATAGCTTTAAACAAAGTACGTTCATCCTTCACTCCAAAAGATGAGGCACAGGCGCGGATTGGTACGCTAGCGATTATGCAATGTGCTTGAGAGAGTTGTGTCTCTTAGCATGACATAATATGCTGGTCGTGGGTTTGAATTCCAATGTATTACCTACGTGGGCAAACATATCAGGGTTCATAAAAATCATATGGTTCTAGGGTCAAATCGCGTCACGAGACAACAATGTATTGTTTCAGTCATCCGAACGGCACTGTTGACGTCATTCGAATCTTATTGTGATGTGAGGTTGGAATGACGTCACACTAGAAACGACGTCATAGATGAAGATTGTTCACGTCATTCGACTGTCCTTTTAGGTAAACACTAAAATTCGTCTCTTAGTTGAGACATCTTCTTCTGTAAAAAATAGAACATTATTTTTTGTTCATGACATACTATGTTTACGACTCTAGTGCCTAAATTCCGGCTTTCGCTCGGGAAATATCGGAATTTAGAGACTCGTGTCATAAACATAGTATAGCATGAACACTCATATACTATCCTCTATATCTTCCCTATTTTGATACTTGATCTATCAGATCGCCTCCATGGTCTAGCACCTGTCCGGAATGCGGAAGGTCTGTGGTTCGATCCCAGGGATGCGTCATACCTAAAGACGCTAGAAGGCACTTGTTGTTACCATGCCTGGTGCTCGACATTAAGGCCACAATATAGGCCACAAGAATGAGCTCCCACATTGTAACTACGTGGATACCGAATCCTGTGACATATTAATACCAGATCACTTACGTCCATGATGCCACCAAGGAGCGTCTGATTGGTCCCCTCGAGTATGACGTCACCACCCTGCCAGTGCCACGTATGGTTATTCTTGGCCACATAGTCAAGAAGCTGATAGCGGTTTTCCCTCAGCCTGCCGAGTTCGGTGTAGCTAATTATAGGGGTGCCAAAGATCTTGATGCCCAACATTTCCCCCATCTTCCCGCAATCCTGGGTGGCCACGCCCATCACGTAAGCTATCGGGTAGAATAGATAGGAACACACCAGCTGAAATAAAATTAGATTTAAAAAGCACTCGAGTATGCTCTTCAAAGAGCGTTATATGATTCTTCTTCATAGTTTAATAAGGATTACAACATTCAAGGCCGTAGTAAAGCTTTCGAAAGTGGGTACTCGTTTATCTTACGATAAATACTTTCATTTCGATAATCTTAGTAAAGTTTTTAATGATAGCATGTCCATTTAACGTTTTCCGTGGAGGAGATTTATAATTGTAACGCATCAGTAACCAAATTAATGGTCGATGCAATTCCCTATTTTACCTGTACCATATGTTCCCCTGTTTTTTTCAGGTGAACAATTGATTTGCCTTTGCATGTGTTTGTGACAGGTGTCACTTTTTCGCGAACACCTTATATCATAACTATTTGAAAGTGATTCATAAACACATGATATGGTTAAAAGCATACGATGGACCCTCAGCAGAGTTTTTTTATGATGATGGAAATGATTTTGTCACTTTTCTTTACATCTATGGTGCTTGATACCACACAATATGGACACTGTAGACGTATTATTCACCGTAATGTCACCTCTGTATCCCAACCATGTGTATAATAATTTCATCATCTTGGTTGTCTGGGGGCAGTCGGGTAGCCTAGTGGTTAAAGCCTTCGCTCATCACGCCGAAGACCCGACATGGGTACAATGTGTGACGCCCATTTCTGGTGTCCCCCGCCGTGATATTGCTGGAATATTGCTAAAAGCGGCGTAAAACCATACTCACTCAAAACTCTTGTATTATATTTCGATACGTATTCCTATGATTTACAGTAACGTTAAAATCTATATTGTTCTATATGCTAACATGAACATGGAAATAAGTAGTGATGTTATGCTAACATGAACATGGAAATAAGTAGTGATGTTATGCTAACATGAACATGGAAATAAGTAGTGATGTTATGCTAACATAAACATGGAAATAAGTAGTGATGTTATGCTAACGAGCCATGACAATACGTATTTCAATTCGTATGGTGATGCCCAAATAAAAAGTCCTTGCATCCAGTTTAACCAAAGCGTTATGCAAATTCGGAATAGTTTTTGGTCTTTATGAATATAATTCTAGACTATACTAGGTCTAGTATCCAAACGGGCAGTCTCCATCTGGACACTGAGATTTTTCAACAGTTGAGTCGTGTAGTATAACTGCCCCCTCTGACGTTCGACTATGGTAGGTACGTATTCACCCCAAACGAAATGCCAGGGACGCCAGCTTGGTCCCCGAACCACTCCAATGTATTGTCAACAAGCTTGGCCAGGGAAACGAAGGCGATCTGGTTGGCGATGGTGTTGGAGGCGATTTTTATGGCCGCAACGGCTCCGCTTGAAACTGCCGAGAGAATGTTGCGATGCTTCCTGGAAGACAACGTTCAACTGTAACGTTCGGAGGCAGCACATGTAGAAATGAAGGTAGCATTCATCGGATAAAGTAAAGAGTGGTGACCAGTTGTACTAACAGACCAGCAGTTGGTGTTTTGGTCTAAATGCTCTCATTCTAACTAACCCGCTCACATACGTGTACCTAGGTCCTAACGTTCTCAGCCAAGTCAGCCCAGTCCCAACCAACTCACCCAAATCACAAACACTATCATATTACCAACTCAATACAGTCCCAACCAACCCAATCACTTAACAACTCACTCAAACTCCTGCTGTTACGTGTCGATTCCCAAATTGAAACAATGTTTTAACCCAGAATGCGTTTGTAAAAGAACTTAGTGTGAAACCAACAAACAACCAACCAATGGAAAACAATCAACTATTGTATTAAACAATTTGTTAGGTTTACAAACCAATACAAATTACTGCACAGTTATTACAGCTGCATGCAATAGAGTGGTAGTCCAATATTCAATGGCAGTATCAAATACATGATGGCAGTGGTGAGATAAATAGTGCAGTGGTATAAACATATTCACCTAACCGCAACAGTGGTCAAGCTGGTGATAAGTGACTTCACACAAAGGCTGGTCTTGGTGTAATGTCAGATGAAATGTCAGGTGTAATGTCAGGTGAAATGTCAGATGAAATGTCAGATGAGATAGGCACGCGACCGCTCCATTTATATAGCCTCACACACTTCAGGCACTTTCCACACAGTGCTAGATCAGTCCAATGGCACTAGAACATCACAGATTATTCAAAATGACATCCACCCATGCTATTCGGGAAGTTTACAGACAATTCGAGCATCTAACTATAATAACTTCTTCACCACTGCTCACATTAAATAGTACTACATTCTGACAACTAATCATTGTCAAAATACAATATAATGAACCTCTACTGAATCTCAACAGACACAATGTAATACAGTTACAATCATTGTTTAACAATTTATTTCACATCAGTGTCACCTAACTGACCCTACTCACTCCAGTCCCTTTGCACGGTACTTTGCAAGAATATCACTTTAACGTGGACTATATTGAGAAATTCATCGACACAAGTGTATTCCTAAGTCCGTACACAACTTTCATTCTGATCAGTGGACCACAAGCACAACTAGTGACAGCGACTTTGAACTGCTCAGGACACGAGGTGGGGCCTCACATTGTCTCGGACCAGAGTCTTGGCTCAGATTCCAA